CCCCAAATTTTTTGAATATGCTCTCTATAATTTTCTCCGATTTTTTTCCGAAATTTCAGCGAGATTGGTTCATTCTCCGCGGTTTTGCGAAATTTTCTCCATTTCTCCGAATTTTTCTACATTTTGGTGAATCACCCCATAAATTGAACGGTTGCGAATCTTGCGATTCATACGAAGATTTTTAAACAAAATGCATTTTAATGCAACATCTGAGAAATAGAAAAGGCAATATTAGTCATGAACAAAATATGTGAAACAAGCGCTTGCAAGCAGATGTCGCGTTCGAAGTTGATTTCCAGGAGTAATTTCCTGGAAAAACGCTGCCGAAGCTGCCATTGTTTTCCAGAGGGATCCGCTTCTAGACTCGCCGTAAATGGGCATGAATCAACAGAGAGAACACAGTCAAAACGAGTGATGTTTAGTGTGCCTGGAAATCTGGAAAAGTGAAGTTTAGTGTGCCTGGAAATCTGGAAAACAATGGCAGCTTTGGACAGAAATTACTCCTGGAAATCAACTTTGAACGCGGCAAAAAACATGTTTATTTATTCAACCCATTCATTGCGAAACCGCTGTGCTACAGTACTCACCTGAAGGTACACATTCGGTGAGGGTATTATACTGTAAAGGAATGGTACTGCAGCGAATTAAAAACGACACTAATTTGAGTGCTTTGAGCTTCAATTTTCGTTCTATAGTTATTTAAAACGCATCGAGACATCAATAATTCCATTCTAACATATTCAGAAGACATCAGTTCTTAAGATACATACTAGAGAAATTGACAGTTTCTCGAATTCCCCCAAAAAATTTAGGTTGCCATGTTACAACGTGGAATCAATGTTCAGGCCTCGAAGCATCCTGGAAGCGCATCCTGCATCTGTGAATTGTTTGCATTTACCGCCAGATGCCTTTCTTCTTCACTTCACAAACACTTGAATAGCTTACATTTTTCAGAAGAGCCACTTCTCAAACAACACTTTCACCAGATGCGATGAAGCTCAAAGCCCGTTTGATTCTATCTGGAATAATTTTAATATCACTGCTTCTATGTTATCTCGTAGTCCTTGTAGTACTCGATATGGATCTGATGACTGATTACATGTAAGTTTACAGATTATCAACAAATATGAATTTTCGTTTTCCAGAGATCCCAGACCTCCACAAATCAGCATTCATAAATTATGTGTAATCGTCCCGTATCGTGATCGTTTTGAAGAGCTTCGAGAGTTTTCCCCGCATATGTCCCAGTATGTTTTTAGATAATTACACATTAACGAAAACGTCCATGATTATGCACAGTAAGTATTGTTTTTCAGATTTCTTCATAATCAAAACGTCTCACATCATATCCTGATAATCAACCAAACGGATTCCCTTCGTTTTAATCGTGCTTCACTGATAAATGTAATGGTAATCAATCTTTCGCCAGCTAAATATAGTATTTCAGGTTGGATGGAATGAAGCAGATCGACTTGGATGTGATTACATGGTGATGAACGATGTGGATCTTCTTCCTATCAACCCGGAGGTCCCATACAATTTCCCAGAAGTTGGAATCATTCGTCATATCACTTCTCCGGAATATCATCCTAAATATCACTACGAAAAATTCATAGGAGGAATCTTGATGTTAACGTTACGCGATTACAAGAAACTCAATGGAATGTCCAACAAGTATTGGGGCTGGGGACTGGAAGATGATGAGTTCTATTTGAGAGTCGTGTATGCTTATTGTGGTGCGTCGAAGATTCTAATACAATCATTCGTTTTGCAGGGACAGCAAACTCAATCTAACTCGAGTATCCGGTCTTTCAACGAATAGCACAAATACGTTTCGTCATATTCACGGTCCCAAACGGAAACGAGATTATACTCCTAAAAAGAAAGATATGAAACAATGGGAGATTAAACGAAAACGAGATCATGTCAGTAAAAAGCAACAACTAAAAACCAGGCCCTGATACTGAAAATTTGGCCGACGAAATATCAGTGGGTGTAAAAATCAGATAAGGGTCCCCCCTATGTGCTTTTTGCATTTTTTCCAAAAATAAGTATCAGGGGGTGAAAATTTTCATAAGGGTCCCCCCTTTAGTGTTTTGTCTCAATTTTTCAAAAATATCAGTAGGTGTATATTACAAAAGGGTCCCCCCTCACGTCTTTTTCAAAATTTCAAAAAATATCAGGGGGTGTTTACCACTCGTATTTGGGACTGCCTAAAAACCATTCAAAACTGTTCTTCCAGGAATCCGGTCTTCGTAATGTACGTTACACAATTGAAAATCGACGTCTTATTGATTTCTCTGGATCATCTGTTACCGTTATTAATGTCGCATTGTATTGTGACATGAGTTGGACCCCTTATTGCAAATCATAGATCAATTATACTTTTATTTTTTTTCCCCGATTTAGTTTTCAAATCTACTTTTTCTTTGTGCCTTTTTTAGTGTTTGATACAGGTCTCTTGTGCAACTCGGGTCGTTTTTTTTGTGGCCTTTATTTTCTTCATACTTGTGATTCCTTTCAATTGTTTCGCTTTTTTGGTACTACATATTATAGTGCCTGCCAATAATTTATTCATAAAATATACAAATTGTTATAAGTTTCAGGTGAAGAAATTATTTACATAACGAAAGTAGACAACCAGGCTAAATCGGCAAACTGCGAAATAATCCGTATAGTTCTAGTGAATGTGATCGATTTCTATGAAAACGGAAATAGGAAAACTCGGGATCAGAAAGTAGGAAAGTAGGCTGAATTAAATACTCGTTTCGGGAGAGGGTCGGTTTAGAAATATATCTATTAGAAATAAATAAAATTAGTGATGGCAAGAGTGAGATTATACAGAATGAGTGCTATTCTTTGGTCTGTGACTGTGATTCGAATCTTCAGCCACATAGTTACGAGCTTGGTAGAAAAGAATATATGCGGATTCCGAATTTTTTTGCGGAGCTGATTGATTAGAAGTCATCTGGGCAGTGGCCTCTGTTGACATTCCGGAGAATTCTTCCATTGAAGACACGTCTAACTTTTCCACGATATCATCATCGAAGACCAGCCAAAATGAGTTACTTTTCACCAGAGTGATATAGTGACCTCGGTTCGGAGTTGCTCCACAGTGCACGACAGTCGCAACTAGATCGTAAATCTGATCAGCTTCTTCTGCATCGTCACTCTGAAAAATTGATGGTGATCATGAATAACCGATTCATGAACAAATTACCACATTAAAAAGTCGCAATTCCAATGGGAAGACCACTCTGTAAGAAAGCTTGGTGTGTCTGTTGAGAGAGTCCACGTATTTGAATCGTTTCAGATGAAGAGCTAGAAGCTGTGGTGGCTTTTTGATCCGCATCCGTTTTTGAGCTTCTTGCTTTGAGGAACACGTTTCACAGTAGTACTTCTGAACATCCAGATTTTCAATCAATCTCAAACAAGTAAAATCGTTTACCTGATCTCCGCAGAGTGTTTCTGTTTCACTAAAGACTCTGAGACAGTGGGTAATAGAGGTGTTCTGTTCGACATCAATTGAAAGATCCAGAAAGTTTTCGTCTTTACATGACTTTGTATCACAACTCAAACATTTCGTCTCGTTCGTTAAAATTCCTTCAAAGATCTCATGGATCCACGTCGATTCTGGTCGGGAATCACTGCCTTCCGTTCCGTTGCGTTCACGCTCGTCTTTCGAGATTCCTGCGGTTGCTGGTGACATATTCACAGTTACATTTCCTTTCTTGATCGTCCCGTGACGGGAGGATTTTTCTCGTTCAGCCTTCTTATCCGTAATCAGCGCTTCTGATATTGAGTTGAGCAAATAGTTGAAGAACTCATGAGCATCTTGTTGAACGTAATTGTCAAATGATTCTGCAACATTTTATATTTCAAAAAACAACGGCTGGAGTTGTACCGTTTTCTTTCTTTAGCTTCGTGATGAATCGTTTCGGAGCAATTGTCCCGACTCGTCTTTTCTGATTAGCTATGCTATGGAATAAGTCAGCGAGACATGTCATCAATGTTTCTTTCGATGTTCCGGATTTTTTCAGTGTTTGCCTATAGTTGAGCATTTTCTCCCTGAATGGTCGACAGAAGAACAAGGCCTGTATCACTGAGTTGCAGTAGCATGTGTTTCCGAACTGAAAAAAACCATAGGCTTTGATTTTGATTTGCGCATTAGTCTTACATTTACAAGCCCGTAATAGTGTTCATTTGTGAGGGTGCCCGATTCCGTCCTACTGATTTCCCGTTCCAACTGTGATGATCCATTGGCACCCATCAGAAATCAACGAGCGGTGGTACCTCTGAGAAATTATGAAAATATTAATACAAGAACTCGGACAACGGGAACAAGATGAAGAAAATAGAGAAGGAAATGGAAAAAGAGAGCAGCCATCTATTTTACTCTGTTTCTTTCGCCGCCTATTTGTCGATGTTCACTCATTCTGCCCGTTTTCAATCTGTTTTCTTCCCGCGTCGCGAGTCCCCCAAATTTGCTTGAAGAGATGGGCTGAGAAAGTGGAAATGTGAGCTTATTTAGTTGGTAACTGAAGCCGCGAGATAACAGAGAAGTCAGCGATAGTTCACAAAGAAGGGAAGCCATTAATTGAATACCATTCACATCCAAAAAACTTTCTCAGATGAAATCAGATAAATGCAGACTGATAAAACTAAATTGATGTTAACAAGTATGTCAAACGTTGCTTTTTTTTGAAGAATGAGAAAAACCGTCAGATTAAAGTTCAAAATTATCAATTTTTCGCGAAAAAAGTTGTCAAAAACTTTGGAAAAACTTTTTGTCCAATAGAGCGCACTTGCACAATTTCCCTCGCGGAAATTGTGAAACACGGGAAGATTACTGTAGGTTTTACGAGGAGAAGATGAAGAACAATTTTCAGACAAAGAACAACACATTTCCAGAAAAGAAAAGAAAAAAATAATAATGATCTAATTAAATTATTAAATTTTTGGGATAAACCGATCTTTGTGGTAAACATTAAAACAGGGATTCTGAATGGACGGGAATCAGACGATTGAAGGTGAATCTTGTTAAGCTTGAAAGTTGGATTCGATTGAAGCAAAATTTTTTGGACTGACTGACTAAAAATCAATTATTTTCCTATAAAAAAACAAAAAATCTGAAACAAAATTACACTTTCATTGTATTCTCATGTAATCTTTATTTTACATTTCATTTGTTGAAATCTTTACTTTTCTATTTTTGTTTCTTTTTGATTAGTCGCTTCTTTGAATCCTTGCACTCAATTCTTTTGTGTCCTGTTGTCTTTTTCCTTTTTTCGACTCCCCAAGTTAGAGACGCAGGCGTTTATTCTTCCCAGTCTCGGCTCTTTTTTCGTCAAGAAGAACAGCTTCCTAGTCAATTCTATTTATTCGTCTAAAAATGAATTGTCGAAGAAAACCCCCGGTCCCGGAATGAAAACTACTGTAACCCAAAAGATTTTATTTAGTTTCCGGTTTTTTTCTCCGTTTTCACTGCTTCGGCCAGCTGGTCGAAAAATACAAGTTTTCGGTACGGGGAAAAGCCGCAAACTCAGGAGAATCGAAAAATTATGGGAAAAGAAAAATATTTTCAAGTTACGGCAGTATTCGAGTCGGGACCTTTTTTAAAATCGAATCGATCACATTATATCTTTTGAAAGATTCGAGTAAGCCTATAACTTAAATTCATGCACATTGTAGTACCAGCATGTTGTTTCGACCATATTCCCTCCACAGGGATCAAGCTGCTGTGGTATGTGGTTGCGCTCAAAAGAGAAGGTGCATGTCAGCTTTACATTTCTCGCGTTGGGATAATTGCAGTGAGATTGTTTCCTCTCGCTCCCAATTTACTTTTTTCTATTTTCCTAAAACCTTAGACACGCCACCTTCCCATTAGAGCGCATCCGCATGCAACAGCAATTCAAACCCCGTGCCCCTCGTTATCATACTCTCATCAATAAAGCATGATCCGTAGTCCTCGAAAATGCTATCGTAGTCTCTCATCCTCCTTCTTACATTCGTCTTATCCGAAGATCATCCTCCAAAATCCCAGTTTGTATTCTCTTACGTCTTCTTCTTATTCTTCTTTTTCCTCTTTGCTCTTCTCCTATTTCATTTTTCCGGTGGAAGTCAGAGACGCAGACTGGAAGTGTCACTCGGCTCCCGTGATCCATTCTTTTCGTGTTGCTTGTCGATTTCTTCCATTCCCTTCACGTTTCAATGAGTTTGCCTAGGCAACTGGGCATTTTCTTCGAATGAAGATGTTAGAATTCTTCTTATTCTTTTCTCTTCCTCCTTTTTCTTCTTTTTTTTTGAAATTAAATTTTATTCTATCTAAAATTGTCAGGCGGCTCATAAACGGACTATGGAAGAAGTCAACCAACCGTGGCACCACCAAATTACCCAAGACCTTCGGGACCATCTTATTCGTAAGATCATCATCGCGATTTTCCCGGAAGCCGATGATTTCCCTGATGACGTGGACCAACAGCAGAACATTTATGAGGATGCTCGTGAAATCGAACGTCAGACATACAACCTGGCAACCAGCCGCGAGCACTACTACCACCTCTTGGCAGAAAGAATCTACAGTATCACCAGAGAAATCGAAAGAAATGGGCGTCGCTAATTCTTCGATTTTCCTACATTATAATATTAAACCATTGCATCTCTTTTTGTTTTAGACTGCGTCCGATATTACCAAATATGCATTCCGTCCAACTCAATCGAAACCTCGCCATCTTTTCTATTGTAACATTCCCGTTTTGAGTTTCAATAAACATAAGAGATGTTTACGTAAAAAATTAACTTACCGTAAAACTGTAATATAACGCCATGGCGCTCTATTTTTTGGAGGGGGCTTAGGTGGCGTTCTATTGCAGGGGGCGTTCAAATAGAGGGCGGCGTTCTATTTTTCAAGGACGAAATTTTGAAAAAAAATTCATCAACAATAAAAAATAGTTTTTTATTGTTGATGAATTTTTTAAAAATTTATTTCTCAAAGTTTAAAGGAATCATTCGAACGGAATGACCTCTTAACTTCGACTTTGACCTTAATTATCTCGGTTCATCTAAAAGATATCAAACATTTGTAAAACTAATAAAATATTACTGATATTAGGACAAACATTTTATCCGTTGACCACTTTATGATATATTCCGAAAAAATATTTTTATAGACGAAAAGTTTCAAAAAATTTCGAGTAACTTGAAAAAGTTCTTTGAAAACTGAGCTGTTTTTGCTGCTCGCCCAAGCTTCGGCCACCGATAATTTTTTTTAGCTATATGTTTCGCAACGTAGCGGCCATCCAGTTGGCCAAAACGGGCCCACAATTCCAGACAAGCTTTGTCTGATCAGTCAGGTCCGTTCGTCTGATGTTGTCTGGGTCACCGCTGCTCATCCGATGCTCATCGCTCATCCGGGGTAGCGGTAACTCAGAAAATTCCAAAAAACTGTCCCCCGCGTCTTCACTGATTTTGACTGATCTGACGGACGGACGGACAGACGGACGCGCGGGCGCAAAAATTTGGCCAAAACCCCTCGGTTCACTCGAAAATCTGCAGCCTCCGCACGGCACCCCAAGCAGGGCTGGGAAAAACAAACGCCGGCGGCAAAATTTCGGCGTTTCGCCGGCTAGCCGGCGACGACTCGGCTGCAGCCGGCGAACGGCGGCGGCCCCCGGCGTTTTTATGCGCACTACGGTAGTTAAAAAGTTGTGCAGTCTGCATTTTTTCGTTAACGCACATTTCTTTATTGTTTTTTTGGCTTAATTTTAATCGTTTTTTGCCAAAGTTGTCTCGTTTTATTAAAAAAAAAGGAAGATTTTACAAAGGATGATGTAGCGAAAGTGGTGAAAGGAGAGATGGAAGGTGTTCGATTTCAAAAAGTGAGTAAAAATAGAACGTTTCGCTTAAAAGAACAATTTTCAGGTTAATCTTGTCGTATCTGCAGAAACAGAAACACAGTAGGAACACTAGCCACTACGTTGAAAAACGTATACACTTCGAATCGACTGTCGCTGGAATCGAAATTTTTGGAAAATCTAATGTTAATCAAAGATATGCCTTAAAATTGATTTATTGTCAATTCAAAAAAAATAGCACCGGTGAATACACAAACAAACAAGTAAACAAGGGGGCGTCGCCGTTTTTCGGTAATTTTTCACCGAATTTCTTCCGAATTCAAGGAAATTCGTCGATTTTGTGAAGGAATATATAACTTTGTTTGAATAAAAACTGAGAAACACAATTGAGAAACAATATTCTTCGATTCAGGGTAAAAATGAAAAGATCAAGACCAGGTGACGTATCGAAGGAGACAATGATGGAAAGAAGAGGTAGAAAAGCTTCTATATCATATAAATAAGTAAATTACCACTGCAAATGTCCGAGACCAAAACATCGAATTCGTCGTACGGCAAAGCGAGCTTCTGCCACGACTCATCTGACGACGAACTCTAAAAAGACAAATCAATTTAGAAACACATAAATTTATGCTTACCTTGTTGTGTTCGCTCATGTTGACCGACTAATTGCTTGATGACTGCTGAAAATTGAGAATGAATAGAGAAAAAATCGTGGTATAAAGTGCATTAATATTCAAATTATTTCAGCATTATGTAAATAAAAGAACACAGATATTTCCTAAAATACAACAAGCATGAATAGAGGAAGAATGTGATGATGGCGTCTCTCGCTTTCCTCTGCGTCTCTGCCTTTCACTCTAGCCCAACGCGTTTGCGTGTGTCTAGTTTCTTTACAAGCAAAAGATATTACAAAGAGAATTGTGTAATTATTGAGACTAAAGTATATTCACATTTCAATCAAAGTAGGCCATCTAATGTGTTAGCAGATATGTCAGAGTGTAAATATCAGGATGGTTCTTGTCCAATAAAGAAGAATGAAATTATGATTTGGGATGTAAATACTTCCCAGAATTGTCAATATATTTCAATTAGAAAATTAGATGGAATCATGAATAATGGACTGTGGATAAATAGTGAAAATCAAATTGCTTTGAGTTTGAATAAAAACAATATTGTGAGAGATTGTAATCTTGATCTCTTAATTAGTGATGAAGGTTTTGCAGTACGTCAGTTACAAAACGAAATACCAAGAATTCCAACAGAATCGAAGTTTCCTAGATCCATAGGATTGACACAACAAGCACTACCATCAACTCCTAGTCTTCAAGAAATGAGTTCAACATCAGAGATTTCTAGATCCGAAGGATTGTCAAATCCTCAGAAATATGCAGAGTCTTCGACTCCTAGATCCGAAGGATTGTATCAAAAAGAAAGAGAAGAATATTATAAAAGACAAAGAGAAATCCAAAAGGATCGAGAACTTCGTGAGCAACAAATCCAAATGGATCGAAATAGAATCCAAAAGGAAAAAGACAAAGAAGTAAGAGATAAATACGAAGCTGATCGTAAAGAATTTGAGAAGAGAAGAGAAGAAAAAATGAAGCAATATCTAGAGTTCGAAAAGAGAAAGAAGGAAAAAATGGAAAGACAAGGATTATTGAATACTACTACTACTACTTCTGTGAATTCGAATAAAATCAAAGATTCTGAAATCCAGAGGATTGAAACTACAAATAGGATCAAAAGATCTATAGAAGCAAATCAAAGTTTAGAAGACACTTCTAGACCTTTTCCATTACCTACTTATGAAGAATACTCAAAGATTAAAAATGATTGTTCACTGCTTCCAAGTTATGCTGATTACCTAAGGTCTAAAGATAAAGAAATAAAAGATTTCATTCGATCTAAGGATGCTTGTGATACTTTTCCAAGTTATGATGAATACGTTACTAAATTTGCTGAATATGCACTAAAAGAATTTGAAAATAGAAAATCTAAAAGAACAAGAAGACAAGTTTACTCAGATTTTCAAGCAGCTGGAGAGTTTCAATACCTTGAGAACAAATCAAATAATCTTTTGAGACACACAACTGAAGTAATGTGTGATATATTTAATGAACACTCCAGTCTTCTTGAAACACTAATAAGAGATAATCCTAGGAGATACATTCAAAAACAGTTAAATCATTCTGCAATTAAGGTTAAAGTTTTTTCTTCCGAAGATAAAGATTCATTGGGAATAGTTCAAGTAACATTCTGTAAAGAAATTGATGAAGATCAAATTGAGTTTATTGATCTTACTCATTTTGATGGATTTAAGGCAAGTTTAGCAAGGACAAATTCCAATTAAGATCAAAGATTTTGGTGACAAAATTTGGTATTACAAGGAATCCACAGATATAATATCTAGTGAAATTCAATTGCATCCCAAGTTTCGTCCAAGAAAAGATGAAATAACAAATAGTAGGATTTAACATTAAAAATTTACAGAGAATGAGCAATTCACTTTGGGGGTAGTCTTTATGACGCAAAGGGGAAATAAAACAATTGATGATGTGAGGCATCTCAAATGTTAGGCTAAAAAGGTGTGTGCCCGTAACTGGTATCAAAAAGAGGGGTGGTGCTAATCGGGACATATCTGTACAGACAATATGGGGAATCAGGGGCCGGAGAAGCTATCCACTTTATGGGATTGTACACGTTCAAGACTGAGGTATTTTACTGGGTGCTTTAGGTGTGGCTGCGCTATCACAGATGTATTTTTCTTGGAAAATTAGAGACGAGAATTATAGAACTTTATGAAGACATGTGGAAGTGTTACACGTAATTTGTGAGATAACTTGACACTTGACAAAATAGAACAATTTTAAAAGTTTCGAGAAGAAAAATTATCGGCCTGATTGCTTGAAAATCTTCCGATTCGCAGACATGGAAGATCCATGGAAGATCTATCGACAGAGCGTCACCGACGTATCCCCTCCTTCCCAACTTCTATTTAATAAGTAGTTTTTCACCCGTTTTTGCCTTCCTGTTCAACCGTCGTTCAGCAGACTTTGGATAGACCTGGTTACACTTGTGCATGTTTTTTTTTCGTGGAATATTTGAGAACATTGGTATTTGTTTCGACAATATTTATTGGATTTTCATGCATCTATAGAATGCAATTCAACTCAAAAATTCCATTTTTACCCGAGATTTCTGATTTTTGTTTTCTTTTTCTTATTATCAGAAAATTGAACACCAGTTTTGAATTATAAATATTTAGTTGTTAACCAAGAAAAATGGGCAAAAAATACACATCTAGGACGTCTATGTATGATGTTAAAAAGACATGAAGAATAATAATAAAAAGGTAGTGTTGGGTGGGGAGAACAAAATCGAATAAAATTTGAGAATATACAACATATTAGTGGGGCAATTTTTGAATGATTCCTATACGCAAGTAAATGACAAAACGAGTCGAATGAAATAATGAACAGAGATGTTAGTAGAGGGGGGCGGGATGCGTTCAAAACTACAAAAGACAATTTGAATCAATCACTGCGCGTTTTCAGAATAACAACGTAACAATGACCTATTCAGAAAAAAAAATAATAAAGTGGGGACACAATCAATGCGTAGGATTTAACATTAAAAATTTACAGAGAATGAGCAATTCACTTTGGGGGTAGTCTTTATGACGCAAAGGGGAAATGAAACAATTGATGATGTGAGGCATCACAAATGTTAGGCTAAAAAGGTGTGTGCCCGTAACTGGTATCAAAAAGAGGAGTGGTGTTAATCGGGACATATCTGTACAGACAATATGGGGAATCAGGGGCCGGGGAAGCTATCCACTTTATGGGATTGTACACGTTCAAGACTGAGGTATTTTACTGGGTGCTTTAGGTGTGGCTGCGCTATCACAGATGTATTTTTCTTGGAAAATTAGAGACGAGAATTATAGAACTTTATGAAGACATGTGGAAGTGTTACACGTAATTTGTGAGATATTGGTGATGATGAAAATGGGTCGGACTTAGAAGAACATGGAAGCAAACGCGGATAAAGGTGAGGGAATGGGTGGAAAAGAAATGTATACATGAAATAAAAGAAGACTATTGGCCGCCGGCATTCGATGGATGAGACTGTTGTTGTTGCATCATCATCATCTGCTGTCGATTCTGGAACTGAAAAAACCAAGTTAGTTTTACTGCGATTTACAAATTCTATCATTTTTTTGATTATAATAAAGTAATGCTATCTTGTTATAGGGGTTACAGAATCAAAACCAGAAAAGCGAGAAAACCACATTGATTCAGAGGTCAGTGGCGCGACATATATCCCGTATAAGAGAGAACATATAACTAAAACCAACCTGGTTGAACGGCATGTTATTCTGAGGCATTCCAGGATTCTGTTGCCGTTGTTGTGGCCATCCTCCTGGTTGCTGTTGTCCATGCTGAGACATTGATGGGTTCATCGATGCGAACTGGCCTCCAGGGCCTCGTGGCTGATTCGGTCCCGCAGCAAAGTTTGCGCCAACACGCATGTTAGCTTGCTGTTGTTGCATTTGTTGCTGTTGAGGGTTTTGTCCCATTTGCATCGGAGGAACACCTTGCATCTGTTGAGCCATCATTGGATTGTACTGTCCGCTGTTTCCGTGAACCTGTATAACCCACATTCAAAACACTATAAACAAAGGTAAAAGGACTATCTATTAGGAATATGCAGAATTATTTAGAACGCGGACACTTGGGAAGTCTAATAAAAATCAAAACCCATACATAAATTTTCAGCTGGTTAACAAGAGGCTTAGAAAAAACGGAAATTAGGAAAACTAAATTTGGATGTGAAGCAGTTTTTTAGATTCACAACTCACCCTCAACCAAGCATGAAATAAATGCGGAGTCTTCTTCAAATCAGAAAATACCATTTCTCGTTCTTGATTGGTCTTCGCTGCCTTTAATCGAGCGTTGATCTTCGTTATTTGCGGTGCCAACGTATTATCGATCGGTTGTTGTGGTTGTTGCTGGCCTTGCGGCATGTTCATCATGTTGTACATATCCTGGTTGGGCCTGGAATAACTGATTGTTTAGGTTCTGTAAAAGTGGTGTCGAATAAATACCTGAATTGTGGATTCTGGCCGATTCCGGGAATTCCAGGACGGCCTGGCTGTTGTTGTCCAGAAAGACCAGCCTGTCCAGGCATCTGCTGTGGTTGAGTCTGGTTCATTCCTCCGAGACCTCCGTGACCCATTCCTGGTCGCTGCATTCCTGGGTAGATGCCTTGTTGTCCTCCTGATGGTTGACCTTGTCCGAATCCTTGACCATTTGCTGAAAGAAATCAGATAATTGAAAAAATTCAAGTTGTGAAACTTACGCATGAAACGACCTTGATTCTGTCCTCCAATGGATGGTGGGTTGTTTCCAGGGAGTGGTCCGTTTTGGGCTGAGCTAGGACCTCCACTGGGCATTCCTAATCCTCCTCCGAAACCTAACGATTGGCCGATTCCTGCACTCAACGGAGCTGTTCCGATTCCATTTCCAGGCACACCATTAGGAGTTCCAGCACTCATCGGACCTCCTTGTTGTTGTTGTGGTTGGGCTTGGCCAACGCCTCCTCCTTTCACTGCAGGTCCAGGCTGCCCAGGAGCTGCGGCATTCGTTGGCGGTGTTGGTACATTGGTGGGGACAGCGGCATTATTGGTAGGAACACTTGGAGTTGGTGGGACGGGTCCTCCTCCAACAAGTGAATGAAGTCCTTCCATTCTTCTCCTCATCATCATGTCAGCTCGTCGTTGTTGTGATCGTTTTTGTTCGGCAAGTTTCTGGCGGATGTTCATACAGAATGGAACAGTACATCCATCTCGGTTGCAGTGTTTGGCGTGATAACAGCAGAGGGCAATCAACTGTTTGCAAACTGGACATGTTCCACTGATCCTCTTCTTGCACAACTTCGTATGCTGAACGACACGCTTCATCTTGTGGCACGACATCCGCCTACAGTTGGCATCACGGCATTGGCAAGCATGAACAAGCGATGCGATACATCTCTGAATGCTTTCGTAGCGAGATCCACTTGAAGCACTTTCTGGACCTTCTCCTGTCATCAGATTCTTCATCTTTTCCAATTCATGAGGATGTGAGACGCTTGGCTTGCATCTATCACACAAATCGAAGTCATCACAAGTTTGACAGTGCCACGTTGCTGGTCCATTACACTTGTTACATGTGTACTCCATTCCCTTTGAGTCGGCTTCATGAAGAGAGTATGCAAGGCATAACGTCGAATATTTAGCTCTTCTTAAAGACGAAAACTCCCAATGTTCTTCTCTAGCCTTGGTAAGGAACGTATCACGACCGTCCATCATATCCGAAGGCATCAAACCATCAGGATCGTTTATTCCAGTAGCGAGGACAGTTGGTTCGTCTTTCAAGCTGACAAGTCTGATGGTGAAGAACACTTCCTTGTGTTTTTCAAACTGCGAGAAAAGTTTGTCAGCGACTTCGTTCCCTGTGAGACTTCCAGCCTTTTTCTTGTTCATCTTGGTGGTCTTTTTCAAGTTGTTCTTCTTGTTCTTCGTGCTCTTCTTCTTGCCACTGTCACTTCCACCAAGGCCTCCATCTGCATCGTCGCCATCGTCATCATCTTCCTTCACCTTACGCTGAGCTTCTTCATTCGACGCTTCCCGTATACAATCTTCTATTACATTTGGCCAGAAATCTCCTTCGAAGTATGGAAGTTGAGTAGGTGTGACAAGATTATCATCTCTAGCTTGCTTGTATATATCCTTGAATTCCACGACACTTCCTTCTTGCACTCCCTTCTCCAACATCTTTTTGTACCAATCCTGAAGACGTTTCGGCTTTGGAATCTTCTGCTCTGGTGGATGGCAATGGAAGATGTAGTCATCACCTTCCGATGGAGGACACGCCCAAATGTGAGCCATCGTGTATCCCAGCTTCTTGGCGTAATCAAGATATCCAAGAAGGATCTCGTGGTAGACATCTGTACGCAACTCGCGAGGTTGGAAGAAATGAACAGAATCGAGATAAGCAATGTAAACTCTTCGAGCGTTTGGAGCTGGACAATCGCTTCCATATTCTTGAACATGAAGACCAAAGAAGCAAACTTCAACTCCATCAATGATCTCGAATGCAAAAACGGCCTTGGTCCGGTATGGGAACTTCTCAGGAAACTGTCCACTCTCCACATACTTTTGCTTCATCTGCGGTTTCACTTCAGCTTCTTTATCTTGAACGCAGAGAGTTCTGATTATGACTGGATACTTGTGTGCCTCCGCTTGCAACTGCTTCTTTATAAAACCATTGACACGATCTTCGAGGAATGTAGATAGCTGGTTATGTGGAAGTTTGCTAGCCAGATATTTATTCTCCGGTTTTTGGTATTTCTTTGCAGTCCGACAGCACTCGCATATAAATCCTTCTGGATACACCTTCTTATCGTGGAGAGCACAAATACGATGCCATTTCCGCATACAATACTTGCACCGTTCGAATGGTTCGTAGTCGACGTTGTTGTTCTTCATATCCTTGAACGCCGTTTTCGGAGCCATATTCGTTCGGTCGTTTGGATTTTCAGAGAGTGATATTCCTTCAGGTGGTAACGCATCGAAGCACTTCTGGCAATAGGTGTATCTCTCGGTGACTGTGACATTATACTGTGTTGAACTCTGCTCGTAAACCCAGTATTGTTGTTCTCTTGCTATCGTACACATGGCAGCACCATAACAGAACAACGAAAGTGGAGTGAAGGCAAGTTTCTTGGCGCAACAGTAACCCATGACTTTCATAACTGGATCCATTTCAGCGACGAATAATTCAGACAGCTTGATTCCGAATTTGTACACTTTGCTGTTCTTTCTGTTGTAAAGCCAAGCGTTATCAAACATCAGCCATATATCGTCAACAAATTGAAATGCATTCTGATATTGACCGGAATGAAGCTTCTTGTGGATCGTTTCCAGGTCCATTGGACGCTTAATGATATCGTGGTAGTCCGGAATATTGAGAAGCTTCGCATCGACTGGAGCACGGAATGGAGCAGCGTCTTCTGCTTTGTCCAGAGTCTCCCAAACTGGCGACAAGAACTTTATAAGATCTTCCTGCGTGAAAACAGTATCTTCGGCTAGTGGTGGTGTCGGTTCTCTCTTCACTTGTGGTTCAGATGGCTTCTCTGAAGGCTTGACATCCTTCACTGATTCTGGAGCTTGATTAGATGTCTCATCCATTGAATCTTCTTCCTTTTTAATCACGATACCGTTAAGCATTGGCGCTGGAGTTGATGAACTGGATCCTCCACCAAAGCCGGCTGCGGTGGTTGGTCTGGAGCTCATCGAATCAACATTCTCATCCATTGGCTCAAGTTTCGGCTGAAGAAGGCCACCGGTGGTAGACGGGGCTCCCATGTTTGGTGTGCTGCTTCCACTCTGTGGGAAAGTAGATCCATTGTTGAGCGGAGGGATTTGACCGTTTGGCATGTTCTGCACGTTAGAATTTGGAGCTCCTCCCCATGGTGTATGCTGTTGGCTTGGCGCTCCCATACTACCATCCATATGAACGTCATTGCTGCGTCCTCCTTCAACACCAAGCATCTGAGCGAGCTCGTTGGATGGTGGAATGTTGTTGTACGCTGAAGAAAATGAATTAAAATCGCTGCCTTTCAATAGTGACAACTTACGATCATGAGGAGCTGCTCCTTGAGTCGACAGTCGAGAGTTCTTCTTCTCCTGAAGTTCTTTTTGGATTTTATAAATCTTCTCTGCCAGTAAATGATAGTATTCTTCACGGTCGTTTGCTGATTCGAACATCTCCTTCTCGACCTTTCTGGCATAAGCGATCAAGTCCTTCAGGCGATTGTCATTCATTGCTCCTGGGTCAGGCTCTGGGAATATCGCCTTCACCAACTTTCCAACCAAATGGTTCCGAAGATCTTTGGTAACTTGATGATGCCATTCCTTTGTACAATCCGGCATATCCGGTGGAGGTAAGTTAGGAATCTCTCCATTGCTGCCGCCTGGCCGTTGTGCACCGCGATTGCCGTTCCGTTGGAATGGATCTCCATGGAATCCTTCGAAGAGTGAATTAGGTATCTGTCCAGAGCGCATAGAAGGAGAACCAAATTGCGACAGCCCGTCACCCTCTGCACTTCCGTTCGAGTTTCCATTGACTCCGATCAAGTTGGCCAGATCGGGCACTGAAAAAGAAAAGAATAAAATCAAATAATTCTTTGAGGTTCCACTCACATGAGAATTGCAAAGGTGTATCTTGTATCCTCTTCAACGGTTTACAAACCGGACAGTCTTCTCTAGAACAATTCTTCCAGTGAGCAATTATTTGACGAGATGAAGCACAATGGGCAACTGAACATTTTTTTGTTGTTTGTGTGGTATCGGCTGAAAGAGATTTCAAACAGTGGCTAGAGTGAAGCGAAATGTTGGTGGGATTATGCGCTTCTTCTTGCTAAATTGTTCGAAACTCTTTCCAGATAGAGAAAAAGAAGCGACACAACGGGAACGAGAGAACTTACAAGGACATAATCGTCCGACATTACAACTTGTCATGTGCGATAGAACATCTTTCATTGTGGAGCAATGTGGCAGTGTGCACGGAGCGTGTGGAGGAGGTTGATTCTTAGCAGCATAGTCTCGATTCTCCTGAAAACAGAACTTCAGAAAGGGGATTGTGGCGTTTTTGATAGCTAGTACTTTTTCTCTCTGAGAGCATTTGTGTGCATGGAGTAACAAAACCAATTGTTGCTGAATTAGCTTCCTCTTCTCAGGATCCTGATGAGTCGCGAGCATGCTCGATCCGGGTGTTGTTGCTCGAGCCGCACCGTTCCTCTGTGCATCCTGATCACGTTGCTGTTGCTGTTGTTGTTGCTGCTGATGTTGTTGAGCTGCAGCAGCTTGCGCAGCAGCCGCTTGCTGAGCTGCGTGTTGAGCAGCAGCAGCTTGAGCTCCTGGACCAGTTGGTGGCACATGTCCCATTCCAGGATGACCATTGTTCATCATCATCATGTGGGGTGGACGACCATTCGCTTCCATCATCATCTGAAAAGTAACAGAGATGAAAAAGCGTCAGTAATCAATGGATGAACTAGAATGAGTGATTGTGATATATGATGAACTGGAATAGAGTTGTTTAGAGAGAAAGAGAATATAGTTATTTGTAAGTTTCCATTTCGACCAAAATCAAAAAGTCGTTAACTGTAGTGCTTAGTTCGCAAACACACTCTGGCATGTTGACGCACAAATACATGAGCTCAGTCGACGCTTGAATGAATGAAGCAGATGTATTCAATACAATACAAAACTAACCTGTTGTTGATGTTGCGGATGCATCATTGGATATCCGGAAGCTGGACCTCGACCATATTGCTGCATGAACTCTGGCCTTTGCTGACCGTACTGCGAATGTTGCATGAACTGTCGATCCATCATTGGCTGCATCATTTGTTGCTGATTAGGCGGCATTCCAGGTCTTCCTTGAGGTGCCATTGGACCGTTTCGTCCCATCGTTCCATTCATCATTCCTCCCCGTCCCATTTGTTGTCCTGGATTCGGTCCGCCCCGACCTGCTCCTGGATAACCTGGTTGAGGGATTCCCTGTGCTCCTGGTGGTCCAGTCTGTGCGTATTGGGGGTACCTAGGCATCATTCCTGGAAATTGTTGTCCTTGTGCTCCCATCATCATCTGTTGATCTCCCCCAGGTGGATACATTCCTTGCTGCCCTGGTCGCATCTGTGGTTGTCCAGGAACTTGTTGAGGCCCTCCTGGACTTGGCCCTGGTACCCGGCCACCCATATTCGGTGGCGACATCATGTTTGGTGTACCGTTTGACATCATTGGACTCCTACTAAACGCATTCTGCTGTCCCGTTGGATATCCAGGAGGTCGAGGTGAATTATTTGATGCTTGTGATGGATTCATCAGCAGTTCCTGTAACACACTTCCATTGGCGCCCCCACCCATGGTCTGTGGTTGTTGTTGTTGCTGAACTCCTGGTTGCCCAGGCTGAAGATTGAAGCCAACACTGCCTGATTGAGAAGGCTGTGGTGTCCCTTGTTGTGGTGGATGTTGCTGAGGTGTCGAGCCAGAAGGACCTGCTGATCCACCAGCTGATGTGCTTGGATTGTCTACCTGAAACTTAGAGAGTTGAAATTAATCATTTGAACAAGCTCAAACTTACATCTGTTTCTTTGCTTGATGTCGGCAGAGGCTCTAGATTGTCAAGAGCACTGAGAGCATCTAATCCCGAATCGTACTCTGAAAGCGTTCCCATTAACGAGCTTAAACGCGTTTTAGAACTTACCGCTATCCGCGCGAGATTTTTTTGATGGTGGCTCATCCATCAATTAGTAGAAAATATATATTTGACAAATTTGAACAAAGCGATCTCGTCTACTTTGGAACTTATGAAGCGGCTGAGTCGGTTTACTATCCCGTATCGGCCACTACTTCATCAGAGTTCCCAATTATTGGGTTAGTTTGGCAAAATCACCAGATATAGCTGTTTGTGTCTGAAACAATAAAAAACTGAGATGAGAGAGAGAGAGAATAGATATATAGATTTTTCCGCGGCTGGAGAAGAGGAAGAGAGAAAAAAAGAGATCGGCGAACCGCAAGGGGCGAAGGGCAGGAGGAAGTTAGAGAAGGAGAGGAAACTAGAGAAGAGCGTGCTAGATGGAGAGAATCAGCCGCCACAAGAGACGTAGATGGAAAATCAATAGGAAGAACGGGGAGGGATGCACTTTTTTAAGGGTGCGTGAACCATTTATGGAGAAAAATGATGAATGCAAAAAAAGTAGTAAAGAAAATAAATTAACGAGTGCAAGGAGAATGAGGGGGGCGGAGATCATAATGGGTTACGGTAGTCTCCGCAAAGAGCAAAACCGTAGAAGGTCGACTTGAAAATACCAAATTCAGGTGTTTCCAAAAAACTTCCATCGACTCCAGATCCTAATCTAGAGCTCTTCGAGATCCGGGAAACCATTCCGACCAAAGAAGTTGCAAAATTGTGCGCATTACTAGGGTTATTCTGATATGAAACTTCTATAAGACATCCCTTGGTTATGATTGAGATGGTCCACCTAGACACCAAATCACTTCTATATGTACCCAATTTGGACCCAAAGGATTCAAAATAGACCTTTTTTGTTCAATCTGACTTCGATGGTCCCTGGGACCATTGAGCTCAGCTGGCTGCAAGGTACCCTCAATTTCATGATCTTTGGACGGACTAACTCCCCGGTGGTCGTTGCAGCTTCTAGGTGGTCCCTTGACCTCAGGTACCGCCCCCTGACCCAAATTTGAACTATTTCTTGACCCAAAAGTTGCAAAAAGCTTTCCACGTGACACGCATTTTAGATCATGAACGTGAAGAAACGCAGAACGGTGTTCAGTGAAATACCACTCAATAGTGTAGAGACCACAGACGGCGCTACTCAGCCACCCATGATGCAGTGTGCGTCGGAGGGGGACGCCGACAGGGGGTGTCCCTCGCTGGCAGGAGTCTCGCAGCGACGACCCGCGGTTGAGGGATACGGTAAAACACTTGCCGCACGCGACACGCGCGCGGGCGAAGGAACATAGAATCTGAATGAAGCTTGCTTCGGACCACCTTACAGTCTGAATTCGAACTTTTAGGGTGAACTTTGGGTATGGATTTGAAGAAAATAAACGAAGGAAGAAATCTAGAGAAGTAGAGCACGAGAGCATGAAAGATGACCGAGTTAGAGCAAGTCAAAGTTGAAGTTATGTTTTGGAATGAAAAACATGATAAAAGACGTCGGAGAAGGTTCGCGACAAGCTTCATCGCATAAAGAGAGCAAACACAGTTCATCTATCTAAAATTTAGACTAAAAAAGTAAGGAGCACCAAGAAGCTGAAAAAATCGATATTCGAGGTTGAGCGTTTTGAGAAGACTTCATCAAGTTCGCAAGGAGGCTATAAGAGATATGGACGGCTTTAATAGATAGAGAATAGTCGAAAGTACCATTGTGTAATCAGAGAATACATAATTCTTCCGGAGAAGCGCAAAAAGTGGAGGGGACAGAAGAGCGGTAGTTCAAAAAGTGCGAGGAGGCGGGGCAGAGGCCCTCCCTCGCTCGACTGTCGGTATCACCAAAAGAGGGGCGGGGCGACAGGGTGGCGGAGGGTGGCCGGCGATTCTCGCTTCTCGGCAAGGCTTCTGAAGTCGTATCAGACGAATACTGAGATTCTCGATTGGACGACGACGTCGTGCTGCTGTCCTCAAGATTGTAATAGTGTGGTCGAGAAGGGGCGGGGCCTCCGTTTCACACTCTATGCGTCCCCCGCCTGCTCAGCGCCGGGCGTTCCGTCCGTTTCTCTACTACCTCACTTCCTTATCTTTGGGATCGTAGGTGCAATCTCCGAATCGCATATACAGTAATTCATGATTGGGACGATAGTGCGGAGAATGGCAGCATGATTTAGCATTATGTTTGAGAAGGAAACAGAAGTACAAGAAAAAACGAATTTAGTGAAAAAGCAAGCAGCGAAAGGATTGAAAAAATGCACAATATAGTTAACATGTTAACATGTTATAACATGAATGTATAATTATCATAAAAACATGTCCAGTTGTATTTTAGAAACGCGGTTTAAAATGAAAATACCGTATTCTCTAATAAAAGCCTACTCAAAAAGTAAACTTTGAGCTAAACTATCTCGATTCCAGTGAAGGATATCAAAAAATTGTCAAATGATAAAATATTGGTGATATTATGATCATTAGTTTTTCAGTTGATAAATTGTTGATATCTTTCCAACGAACAGAGATAATTGTGTTCAAAGATGACGGTTTGGGTGGGCTTCTGTTAGAGGAAATACGATATTTAAAAGAGCGCTTTCATTCAATTTACCTCTACCCAAATTAACTGCGATTACTGTAGGTTTTTAGTTGAGAAATAAGGAATATCAAACAGAAATTTCGCCGGGTTTGCCAGTTTTCCTTCAAAGGCCTTGTGCCAAGATAAATTTCGTTTAGGAAATTCAAAAACGGACATCTTCCATGCACAATTCTTTTGATGAGGAAACTAGACTCCTCGGGTAGAAGTTTGTTAGTAAAGTTAGAGGACCAAATTTTCCCTTTCAGTGAGTTCAAATCTCTCGAACTTTCAGAGTTCAAACCCCATATAACCTATGTATAACAAGAAAACCACTAAACTTTGAGCTAAATTCTAAACTGGCTGTTGAAAATTTCTTGAAAAAGCGAGCGCTAAAAATGAACAGCTCAATAAAAGATAATGAAATCAGGTTCGAAGCATCTCTTTAAGCTTTTCGGCTAATCCCGTAAGACCTGTAATAGAAAAACCCCCTCACTGTCAAGATTGAGCTCAATTATCTCAATTCCCACTCAAGATATCAAAAATGTGTCAACTGACAAAACACTTCTGATATTATGATAAAAAATTTTATCAGTTGGCAACTTCTTCATATCTATGACAGGATCTGAGAAAAATTGGCACAAAGTTGAAATTTAGGGGGCCTTTCTATTACATGTTTTACGGTAGCTTGTCAAACGACTAGCACTCTAATCTATTTCTCAATGCATAGCTGGAAGAACGTTTGAGGGTGGCATTTAATTAGAGGTTGGCATTCAATTCGAGGGGCATTCTATTTTTCCGTGCACAGCTCAAAGAACGTTCTATTAGATGGCCGAGTTTAATAAGTAGAGGCTAATAGAATGTTTCCGATATTTTGAAGGACCAAACGTGAGAACTACAGTATCTCACTTAGTTTGGAAGATCACAGGCACCCTCCAGTGAAAACTATTCAAGATCCGTATACTGCAACTTGTAGATTATAAGTTGCTAAGTTTGAAAGCTTCAATTACAACACATAGACTATCAAGAAATCCCTACGATCTAATAGTAAGATGGGAACTCTCAAAGAACAGTTTTCTAGCATTGACTGCGAGGAATTGACCAAAATTTTGGATGATATTGGTTACAAAAATGTTTTTAAAAAATCATAATGGGAGACGAGGAATCCTCTTCATATGGTTTGGATAGTCAACCTACCGTATTTCCTCTGATAGAAGCCTACCCAAGCCGTCAACTTTGAGCTTGGAGCTCAGAGCTCAGTTATCTCGATTTCTGTGAATGATAATTGAGCTCAGAGTTGACGGCTTATACTAGCGGAAATACGGTATGACACTTTGATGTGTACATAAAATTCCTTCTCGATTCACTAGGGACCGTTATAAGCCTTATAATCTAATCTTGACCTGGTACATTTTTTTGGTAAAAAAAGAAAAAAGGAAAGATGTAATTGGATTAGAAACTGGGAAGAGAACAAATTTCAGAAGAGCACTGGCAAATGAACATTCAAATGAAAACGACAGTAACCAGTAGAAATATATGGATACTGATGTTCGAAATGAGAGGGTATTTCGACCAAACTTTTACTTTTAGAAAAATATAGTCGATAAAGCGGGTTAAAATTCAGAAAATATCAGACAAGTATAGCAAACAAGGGATAAGCAAAAAAGGCACAAAAAAGGGATCGAATTTCCTTACCATTGTGTTTCAGGTACTTTTTTACAGTAAGACTACTAATTGGGAAAGTGAATTTTTAGAAAACCAACTTTTACGAAACATTTTGTGAGCTCAAAACCCTTACTTTTAGGGATACTTATAAAAAGGGTTTGAAGAAATTTCAAGCGAATCATTAACTTCAGAAAAGAATAAAAACGATTACTGTATTGGAAGGGATTACGGTAGGAACTTCTTTCCAACCTAAAACAAGACAAAGTTTGAGTGTTAAATTTTCTTTTCTCGTGCGTTGGACAAAAATTAAAACCTGAAGATAAATTTCTTTAGCTTACGGTTGAATGAAAATATGAACTATGGCTACTGTATGTAATTTCTAGACTTTCTAGACCTATTGGGTAATTGGACCTCAAAAACATTAAAAATAGCGAGAAAAACCAATAATTATTTGGCTTGATATAGAGAAATGCCAAGAGGCGACTGTTCATCGCGAGTCCTGGGCAGAAACTGAATATGCGGGAGAGGGGTGAGTTTCTCGGCGAGAGAGAAAGATACACAGAGAAACCAAGATGTCCTCTGTGGAAAGAAGGGCGGGGCTTAGCGATGAGACTCTAGAGAATTTGATAAAGCGTGGGTATCAATGAGAGCTATATGATAGGGCTTGACCGCATATGAAATAACATGGAATAAAAACTTGGAACAGTTGATTTGCGAAAAAAACATGATGGAGTGAAACTAACTGAAATTTTGTGTGCTACTGTTGGCGATAATTAATGTTTCGCTTCTGATAATCAACCTAGTTGAATTTTCTAAGAAACGACACACCTACACCGCCTATCTCTTTCAATGTCACAAATCTAAACTCTCAAAGTCATTTTATACAGTTCTTTATTCTCCAAAAAATGTTTTTAAACGAGTTGGTGAGAGGTTCGACAGAGGCTTTTTCGGTATCGTAAATCGGAATTCCGATTTTTCAGCTTTTTTCTATAAGTTTAACTTTTTAAACTTTTTTACTAGGAAAGTTTTTGCACAATCAAACAAATACAGGTTTTTGACTGAAAACCAGAAACAATCCAACTGTGCATAAATTGCATTTTTTTTTCTCATATTCGAAGATATTTCGATAAAAAAGCTAATTTTACCAAGTAGTTTGTATTGTAGTTAAATATCCAGAATCTGAAACTTTCAGTTTTTTCAATACTCAACGAGGCAATGAGAATTTTTGGAAAGAGCCAGCGTAGACCAAAAGCACCCACAAGCAACTAAAAAGAAAGTTAGAAACTGATATATTCGAACTGATAGTTGAAAAATGACGATTTTCCACACAAAATTTGTAAATATAATTTTTTTGATTGGCAAATCTTAAGTGCGTACTAGTCTCAAACCACCAAAAATTGTTGAGAAAAATTGGATGCCACTGGGCGATAAAGGAGATGTTTTCTGACCGAAATTACCCTCGAAAGTAATCAACAGTAAGCTCTAAACTGCAACAAATGGAGACAGAATCATTGCTAAATCAAATATGAATAAAAGAGGATAAAAAATAGATAAAATGAAGATTTTGTACTAAAAAAAGAGTATTCAAGCGAATAACAAAAAGAAGATAAGAAAATTGATTTTTTACAAGGTACAGTAGACTTTGACTTTAAAGGCGCGTGGCGAGCATTGAAAAATTTGTAGACATTCGTCTGAAGACCGCTGACAGTACTTCGTGTGTTTTTTTCAGATTTTTACTGATTTTTTTTTGTTTCAACTTTTCAAAATACTATATTTCGTTTTGCTAGGCGGTAATATAATCTAAATAAGCTCGAAGCGAAATTATCGATTTTTCGGTCTCCCGGTCGCCTCGAATTTATTTAACGCAATCTGTTCTGGACGTTTTCGAAGAAAAAAGTGGACATTTTCAGAAAAAGTATCACATAAATGTATAAGTAGACCTTTCGATACCCTTAAAAATTGTATCCGCGCTAAAAATGAAAGATGGCAGAGGAATCCAAGTTCTTCCACTGCCCCCGGTCCACTATGCGTGGCAATGCTTCCTCCAAGACAATTGGTTTAATTTTGTCTTTCAACTTTTCACATAACCCAAATTCTTCAAACTATTTAGTTTTGAAATTTCAGAATGTCCAGCCTGGATTCCTCAAAATCTCCGGTCCCTCCAGCCGGATCTTCCGGCGGCGGTAATAAGGTTGGTTTGCATTTTTTTGCGATTTTTCATTCATGTAAAACATTTGCAGTTAGATAGTTTGTCAAAGGAAGATCTAGTGAAATTTGCAAAGAAGCAGGTTGCTCATTTAGCTGAAATGAAGAAAAACCAAGCAGCACTCATGGAGAAACTGGTTCGAACAACGATTTTGAATATTTACAGCATAGAAAGAAAATTTCAGAAAACGAAAATTGGAGAATTGGAGCAGTTAAAGAACCAATCGGACAATTTGAAACTAGTAAACGATAAGTTGACATCAGAAGCGGCTCAAAAAGTTGAAGTAAGTATTTGAAAAAAACAACTATTCGAACATGTCTCAAAAGTTTCAGAACAATCCCACGGAGTGTACAGAATGTCTTTCAAAAAGTGGAGCATTGATTGATTTAGAAAAGGAAGTCGTCGAGTGGAAGGAAAAAGGAACTCGAGCAGATATGTTTTCTCTTGAGATCCGTGATTTGGAATCCAAGATGGACCAGTTGAATCGAGCTCTGCGGGAGAAGACAGAAGCGTTGGTAAAAGCGCAGGAAGTGATCACTGAAAACGATTTAGCTGTTAATAACATGAAGTAGAATCTGATAAAAATTTGTTTAGAATTTATTTTTTCCAGAAAAGAATCAAGTTCTTCGAAATCTTCCATAGAAAAACTCACCGAAGAAAATACTCGACTTTCAAAAGCGTATGAAGACGAAAAAGCGAAGCGTGCTGATTTTGAAGGACGCCTGAAATCGGCCGAATGCCGCATCGCTGAACTTTCAGATCAACAAGGGAACGAGAAGCTAGGGCTGGCAAGAAAAATGGCAGAAAGTGAGAATAGAGGAAGAATGTAAGATCTTAAATTTACTTCCAAATTCAAAAAATGTTTTTCTTGCAGTTTGGAAGAAGCAGTTGATGTTCTGAAAGGCGAAAAGGAGAGACTAGCATCGAAAAACGAAGAATATGCATCGAAGCTAGAGGCTGCAGAAAAAGAGTTTGCAGAATTCAAGGTATGAAATAAGTTATAGAGCTTCACAAGAAAAGTTTTCTTTTTAGAAAAAGTCTCACTTTGTACTTGAAAAGAAAGGAAAACAAGCGGATGAAACAAGAAAACTAACCGAAGATCTTGAGAAGGCCAAAGTGACAATAGCTGAATTGGAAGAACAAGCTGGTCAAACTAGACAAGAGCATTTCAAGACCCTTGAGGACTTGGCTTTCTCTCGTGATAAAATGGAGAAGCTGGAACGAAGTTTGAAAGCTGTAAAAGCCGAACTAGCTGAAACCGAGAAGTCCCACTCCACTGCGATGGATGAGCTTCGGTCGAGTTCGTCAAAACTTATTCAACGATTGGACGAGGAGTTAAGATTGATGAGATCATCTCGTGACACTGCTGAACAAAAAATAAAGGATCTGGAAATGACGAAAGAAAAAGTAGATCATCTTCTTCAAAATGAACGACAACGGAGTGAGAACGAAAACGGAAGTTTGAAGTCGAAATTGTCTACTGCCACGAAGCAAATTCAGCATTTAGAGAAGGAAGTTTATGATTTGAAAACGGATTCAGAAAACCGTCGCATTCAAAGTCATCAACAACAGCAACAAAAAGCAATCGCAGCTGTGGTTCCTCAACAGATTCAACTCCCAGAACATCCTATTCCACCACATCACTACCAACGACCAACAGTGGCTCCATCTGATTCAGTGTCATGTTATGATGAGCAAACACAGGTATGGGGGCTATGTACAGTTTTTATTGGGGCGAAAAAATCAGGCAGGAAAAATTTCGAGGAATGGTAGTGAGATGTTAGCATTTTTGGAGAAGTGATTTGCATTCCGTGACAAATTGCTCATCATTCGATGACTCTTTTGGCAGTTCAATAGCCTTGCTCAACAGCTCACGGGCTTGTTTCTTCTCCTTCTTAGCAATATGGCACTTTGACAAGAATAGCAAGTTCTCGATCCAGTCAGAGTGTTGCTGGTAAGCGGCTTCAAAGTCCACAAGTGCATCGTCGATCGTTGCCTTCGGCACTTCGCTGTACAACATGGATGCTGCCTGAAATTAGTGTTATTTGAATGATGATCATTTCGAAAAATTAAAATACCTTTCTTTCGAGCCATGACAGGTTTGCGAGAGTGAAGGAGAAACGGGCACGGAGGTGAAGCAATGCGAAATCGGTTGGTTCCAACTCGAGCGCCTTATCCAGCATGTCCTTGAGCTTTCCTCCTTCACTGATCTTCTCCTTGGTTGGCAATTGATCGACGACGAGTCCGAACAAGATGGCCGCCCACTTGGCTGCCAGGAAACAGTTTGGATCAAGTTCCATGGCTTGAAGTCCGTAGTCGCGTCCTTCGATCAACACCTTCCGTCTCTGCTCACCAGTCATTGTATTGGACAGCTCGTGACAGAACCGGCACATTCTCCACAGCAGATCGCACGACAACTCGCCATTCTCGCGTCGTTTCTTCAGTTCGTTGAGTCCATTGGCAAACTCACGGTCGTCGAATTGCTTGTCTGATACGGCAAATGATTCCTGAAAATTCGACGTTGGAGAACACAAGAACGACTAAAATTATTACAAACTTACCATTGTTAAATTAGAGGGTTATGAAGTCGATTGACAAATGCAGACAAGAGAAGGATGCCTGAAAACGTCATCGTTAAATATCAGTAGAATGGGGTGCGAAAACAAAAAAGATCTTCAAAGATTAAAAAGGAACATTCTGGACATATATTGTGCCACGCGCTCTCTAGTCCAATATGATACCTACGAAAACTACAGTTTCCTAATTTAGAAAAACAACATGTTTTCAGCCTGATCGATCACTGGAGGATGTTTTGTATGGTGATCTTGGTGATGAATATAGTGAGTGGACATATTTTGTTTTCCGATTTTACCGATTGATTACAGGAGTGGAATCAGATGAACTGTCAGAGGAGAAATTCAAGGCATTGATCGAACAACTAGATAATTTGAAAAAAACGAATCATCATGTTGCGGAACTCTTGAGCGAAGCGGAAACAACTAATGGACGGTTGACTACTCAGGTATTATATAAAGATTTTCAAAGTGCAAGAAACATTTTTTAGAACTCATTATTGAAAGACGAAATAAGAAGATTGGAAAGAGAGGAAAAACGGGAGGCGGAGCTGTCAAACGAAAAGAACATGGAGTACTTAAAAAATGTATTCGTTCAATTCCTTAAACCAGAAAGTGTTCCTGCTGAACGAGAGCAATTGGTGGTTGTTCTACAAAGAGTTCTTCATCTGTCACCGAATGAAGTGGACATTCTAAAAGCTGCATCAGGTGAGGAGCAAGCACAAAAAATATAAGAATAGAGAGATAAAGAGATCTGATAGAGAAGAAATGTCTGTGGCGCTGCTGACCAAGCGACGACAACAACAGAAACAGCACTGCAATAGTTTTTTTGGCAAACAAAATGTGCAAAAATTGAATGATTCATGGTTGAAAAAAACAAACGTTACGAAGATGAAGAAATCTAAATATGAGAAGTTTCGGCTTTTATAAAGAGGATTCTAGGTAAAAATTTTGCCGCGCGCGGGGTAGAACAAACTGAATAGGTAGATCAAAACTATACAAAGTTATATTAAATGAGTGTGGAGAAAAAATTATTTAAAAATGCATTTCAGCTCACATGGCTACTGCTCAAACAGGAACATGGTCATCGTATTTTACTGGATGGACGGCAACAACTTCGTAATCCTTCTTTCTATACATTAACTTTAGTTGTACATTTCTCAAAATCACCTATTTATTTATTGCATGTTTTCCGGGTGTGTTTCTCTCATGTTATTGTGTGATACTTGTTTCAAGCCAACTCTAGTGATATCATTGATGGGGTTTTTTGCAATCATTTGATATTCTCCTACTTACAATAAATAGGTTTCGATTTTATAAAACTTTGAATTTCTTGCTTTATTCATCGCTGTTATTTCTACCTGCTTCATGATATACCTCGAACCATTTGATTCATTATTCTATTCCCGTTTTCAGATGGAAGAACCGAATGATTTAAATCTCTCCGATACCGTTATGAGTGAAATAAAAGGCATGTGCGTCACAGAATATAGTAAACCAAATATGAGCTTGATTGCCCAAATTAACGAACTCTTCCCAACTGAGCAATCACTTACTCAACTTGATTCTGTAATAGCTGCAGTAGAAGGCGAGATAGGCGAGTTGGACAATGAGTTGGCTTATCTAGTGGAGACGAATGCCAATGTTAGTGAAAGAGGAGAAGAGGCTTTAAAACATGCACAAAAAGCGATGGTAGAACTGGAAAAGAGTATAGGCAGTATACGAGAAAGAACAAAGTCATCAGATGAGGTTTGTTCTTGGAGCCTCCTCGTTTTATGCTGAAACTCGTTTACAGATCGTTCGAGAGATGACAAGAGACATCAAACAACTAGACATTGCCAAACGAAACTTGACGGCTTCCATAACAACTTTACATCATCTTCATATCCTATTAACTGGAGTGGAATCTCTCGGAGCTTGGGTGGAGAAGAAAGATTATAGTTCTATTGCTAGACAGCTTCCTGCTATTCTGAATGTTCTTCAATTGTTTGATGCATACAAAGAATCAGAACAGATCGCTAATCTTTCCGAACAACTAGATAAATTTAAATCTAGTCTAACAATTCAACTGGCTAGAGATCTGAAGAATGCATTCCAGGTAAACCGCGAAGTCTACCATAAGTAAATGAATCATTATTGTTCCAGACTGGACAGCTCAGTGATCGAATTACTGATATGTGTAGAGTAGCAGCTGCACTGGAAGGAAACGTAAAAGAAAACTTTGTCAAATGGTTCATCGAACAACAGCTCAGTGAATACTGTATCATTTATGCTGACAATGAAGAAGGAGCTTGGCTGGATAAGGTTGACGACAGATACAAATGGTTCGTGAGGAAACTGACGGACTTTGAGCGAGCAGGACTATCGAATATTTTCCCAAATGATTGGCATATGGGAAGACGACTAACAAGCGAGTTTTGTATTGTAACAAGAGACATTCTCTATAGAATAATGACAAGAAGAAGGCAGGATCTGGATTGGAAATTACTAGGACATGCTATTCAACACACCAAAATGTTCGAAGCTCTCCTCACAAAACGGTTCCCAGAAAAAGATGGGATATCGTTTGAAAAAACAATTTGGAGTGTTTTTGACCCCTTCCTTGATGTGTTCATAAATGCCCAAGAAAAAACACTCAACGAATTTCTGGATACCTGTGCAAGCAAAATACGATCAGGGGAAGAAAAACCAACCCGGGAATCGTCTACACATGCTGTACCGTTTCCGTCCTCAGCTGATATGTTCCTTCTCTTGAAAAAGGTAATTACGGAATCAAGCAAGTTGAGCAGTGAGCCAGATGCTTTGATAAGGTGAGAGCACTCTATAACTGAAAAATTGAAGAATACAAACCTTTATAGGGATGTCATCGGTGTAGTTCGGGTGTGTCTTCGTGGCTATGCAACATCATGTCTGATCGCATTTCTGCCATCACTGGGTTCACAACAATCTGGAGCTGCCAACCTTTTCAGTCTGATCAGAGAAGAAGTCGCCTATCCAAGGCTGACTCCTGATCAACAATTTCTTGTTTGCTGCATTCTGGCAACAGCAGATTGGTGTGCAGAGACATCGATTCAGCTACAGGAAAAGTTGGCACAGAGGATACCAGGCGTTGATATCACTCAAGAAACCGAAGCATTTTATTCTATCACTAATCAATCTTTATTGGTTTTAGTACAAGATGTAGAGTCTACCTGTGATGCTGCTCTACAATCAATTAGTAAAGTCAAGTAAGCATTTCTCACAGCACAGAACGCATATCTATACTATTTTAGCTGGAGTTCAGTAGACTGTGTTGGTGACGAGTCTCCTTTTATTGGAGCAATGCGAGCTCATCTTCGACAAGCTGTTCCTTTAGTTCGTGACATGCTATCTGATCGTCGTAAATACTTCGCTCACTTCTGCCTGAAGCTAGCTACTCAACTGGCTCACAAGTTTGTTGGATCTTTGTTCCGATGTCGTGCCATCAGTACCCATGGTGCCGAACAACTATTACTTGATACTCATTCATTGAAGACGTTTTTATTGAGTGTCCCTTCTATTGATAGTGTCATAAATTCGAAACCACCAACTGCCTACGTTACAAGTGTGAATGCAGCCTTGACCAAAGCTGAAATGATTCTGAAGGTAAGTTATTTTCTCGAATGGAACTGTTCGTTACTCTGAACTTTCAGGTAGTAATGTGTAGTTTGGATACGGTAGATGAATTTGTGGAGCAATACATCAAGTTGCTCCCAGCTTCTGATGCAGCTGAAATGCAGAAGGTTCTTGAAATGAAAGGAGTCAAAAGACAAGAGCATTCAGCGGTTCTCAACACCTACCGTATTAAGATAGGAGCTTCAGGATCTGATCCAATACCACCATCAAATAGTCTGACATCTAGAATTGGAGGAGCTCTTCCAACCGTTGGAAGTGCGGCATCTGTATCTGAAGCATTCAATGCTGTAGTTTCATTGGCTGCCGATGGACTATCAGATCAAACTGTGACGTCTTCTATCGACAAACTCAAACGATTCGAAAGACTAGTCAAACGACAATTGTGATCATTCGAGTCATCAAAAAACTTTCGTGCCAAAGAAATGATAATTTATTTGCTTTAATTTTAATTTGTACATATAATTTATAATTGGTGTAACATGGTCTTGCAGTATAATAATTTATGATTTTGGAATAAAAAATCCTCATCAAGCAAACAACTTCGACTCTTCCATATATATGAGAGGTTCCATTCCATAATCTCTGTCATTTTGAACAATTTTTACTAAATTTGCCTTCTAACTGTACGTTCACTGATCACAGTTCAAATGATGTGCTCTATCGTTCGCTCCCCTTCATATGTCTGTGTCTCCACTCATATCTGTTCTCTAACTTTCACGTTGCATCTTTTCATTTGTTTTCTTCTTCTTGCTGACCGATATTTATCTCTGCATTCTTTTTCACCTTGATTTTTGTGGAATCTTGTCTTTTCAGACGAACAAACCATGATGCGTTTCTCGAGTATGCTTGTTCGCAATGTCAGATTGTGCGCAAATGCTAACCAAATGCAAGTTGCTGCTTTTTCAAGCAAAGCTCCAGAAATGATCAAAGTGGAGAAAGTCGGAGAGAAACAAAATGTTGCTCTCGTCAAATTGAACAGACCAAAGGCTCTGAATGCCTTGTGTGCTCAATTGATGACTGAATTGTCAGATGCTCTCCAAAATCTTGATACCGATAAGTCTGTTGGAGCCATCGTTATTACCGGAAGCGAGAGAGCTTTCGCTGCCGGAGCTGATATCAAGGAAATGGTAACAATGTCTTTTACTTTCAACGAAATTAAACATCTCCGATTAAGACTAACAATGAGTTTGCATCTACCTTTTCTGGAAGTTTTCTCTCTAACTGGACTGCCGTCACCGACGTCAAGAAGCCAGTGATTGCAGCTGTCAATGGATATGCATTGGGAGGTGGCAACGAATTAGCTATGATGTGTGATATCATTTATGCCGGAGAGAAAGCTCGTTTTGGTCAGCCAGAAATCAACATTGGAACCATCCCAGGAGCCGGTAATTAACTGATTAAAAAATGTTTTGTGAAGCTTCCAATTCCAGGAGGAACCCAACGCTGGGCTCGCGCTGCTGGAAAGTCATTTACTATGGAAGTTTGTCTCACAGGAAACCAAGTCTCTGCTCAAGAAGCTAAGGACCGTGGAATCGTCAGCAAGGTGTTCCCAGTGGATCAAGTCGTCGGAGAAGCTGTGAAGCTTGGAGAGAAGATTGCTGACCAATCACCACTGATTGTTCAAATGGCCAAAGAAGCTGTTAACAAGGCATATGAACTGACTCTTCAAGAAGGCCTCCACTTTGAGAGACGTCTTTTCCATACTACTTTTGCTACCAAGGACAGAAAGGTAATATTTATTTGTTTTAAAGTTATTAGGTGGGGATGGAATCTTCACTTTTTTCAAGGCTGCTCAGTGTTGCTTCCAGTACATCTTCCAAATTGATATGTAGTGCCTGTAAAAAATTTATTTAACAATTGTATCCAATCTATAGCATCACTACATTGCTGTTAATTTTGTTGATAACAGCTTCGGTTCGTAGTTTCAAACCATCAGAAATTCCTCCAGACGCGAAATTTTGCATATTCACCAAAAAGTCTTTGATGCAATTGTTGACATCGTTTGACGAAATTTTTTTGGCCTGCTCACTGGAAGTAAATGTTTTAAATTGAGAAAAGGTCGAAAAAAACCTGCTGTGTCTTTTCGGCTCGTTGACTACATTAGTTATCTGTTCGACCACCGATTGGTTCGATTCTTGAACATTGTATCTTACAATATCTTGCAAAGTCTCGAAAAAAGATCCAACCGGAATGGTGATTGTTTGATGTGAATGGTTTATATTTGATGATGAGCTTTGTGTCATCTCAGTTTCTTCCTCAGGTTCTTCTTGTTTTATAATATTTTGCAATAGTTCTCCAATGTTCGCATCCGGTAGATCATCCGACACGTCAGCATGGTCTTCAAGTAGTTCAGGTTTCTGTTCAAGCTTCACTGTGGCATTGGGTTCGGCTGTAGTTTGCCGTGCACGATGAATCATTCTAGTTAACGCAAGCCTTGACGCTGAAACAACGCTATTATTTTTGACAAGTATTTTTTTCTCACCTCCTAGTGAAATTGGGCCTAATGATGACTGCAGTTCATCTATTAACTTTTTTGGAGAGCAAGTAGTATTTGCCGCAATTTGTTTCAAGGCATGCTTTGCGAGTTTTGTCTGAAATAGATTACGATACTAGATTTTTAGACTTTTCAACGTTTTCCTACGTTAGCAAATTCCTCGTCTGCTTCATGCAAAATGTGTCCTGTTCTCATGAAAATGTGCCCATTCACTCTTCTGGCACTAGCTGTACATCCAAGCGTTTGTCTGAAGAGTAAAGAAATATACGAAATGAGTTTTTTGCTATTGCTCACCTCTTATCACAGTATAAAAGTTCTGTACCATCTGCGAGAGATTTCTGCTGTCGAAGCAAGAAACCTTCGTGTATGAAGAGAGGCCTTGATTGTCGTTTGGACATTCTGAATAGTAGCGCAGTGAAACTTTGTCTAGATTAAGAAATCAGGGCTCTCAAAGAATTGAAATCTAAGTGAAGTGTGCCGAAATGTACATTTCGGAACGGTCGCTGCGAAACGTGCCGGTTACGAAACAGCGTATTCTTGGAGCGCACTTGCATAGTGACGCGTCGCAACTTGAGACCCCGGAAATTCCGGGGAAAAAAACTCCGGAGAAAAGTGGGCGGAGTCGGGGGCGGATCCTAAATTGCAACCCTGGCA